TTGATATCGATTGAGGTAGATATATCATTATCAACAAAATATAGTTTTACGTATTCAAAGTCTGTTGCTCGTAAAAACGCAAAATTCCTTATTTCCCCTATATTTTGTGGTTTTGGATTTCTAATAATACTTGCTGATGGTGGACTTTCCGTCTCCAATATCATATCAAAATTACTCAATGAAAGATTATCTTCTTCATTATCTGGTATGATTAACATTCTAAACCTATCTATATATTTTCCACTCGTTTTAATTTCATTTAAGTGGTTAACCTTGTTGTTTTCGTGGTTAATTTCAAATTCTTTAGATTCTACATTTTTTGATAAACTGAAGAACTTTTTGAGCGTTAAATTTATTAGAAAAACGAGGGTTTTGTCTGAAGAATATTGAATCAACTTTTACCTGAAAAGAAAAATTAATTTCCATTATAAGTTTTCCTCGGAAATTAAAAAATATTGGTTGATAATCATCATCATCATCTGAATCAAAAATATTTTTGGGGTAAATAATATCATTTGGAACAGAATATACTCTTATATTTGCTGTAAATCCATATTTTTTATATTCATAGTCTTTTGATTTATCAATATTATCAGTAATAGAAGGATCATCATCAAAACCTCCAAATGGAAGATTGAAATAATATGATTCTTTCTTGAGAAACTTTTTTCTAATGCGACTATATTTTTGTCCTGTTTCAAAACTAGGTTATTAATAGTGGTTATCTGTTGTTGAATAACACTATCATCAATGTTTTGTATTTGTTGTTGAATATAGGTTTTGATTTCGCTATCATCAATGTTTTGTATTTGTTGTTGAATATAGGTTTTGATTTCGCTATCATCTATGTTTTGTATTTGTTGTTTAATATTTCTTAGTTCTTTTTGTAATTCACTGTTAAGTTTAGTTTCCAGTGCATTTAATTCCTGTTGAAACGTATCTTCATTTTCATCTGGAATGTTATCTATTAATTGTTGAATGTCTAATTTTTATTTTGCAATCTTATCCTCTAATTTAGATATTAATGAAATTAAACTTTGTAACTCAGTTTTATTCGCTACGTTGACCAATTCTTTTTGAATAAAACTTATTAAAGCTTTTACCTCTTGTTGTAGTTTAGTATCATTAACAAAATTTTTATTATTTAGTTGACGTTTGAAGAATCTTTTCACATTACTTTTTTTTATCTTCTAAATGGTTTTTATTTACTTCAATTGAATTTATTTGTTCCCGTAAATATTTCTTGTGAACAGCGTCATTATCGTTTTCGGGAGACTTTAAATTAGTTATGGTAAAATTGTTCATATCTAAATCACCTTGAAGAGTGTCTCCGATTTGATCCACAAAGTAAGGTTTCGCTTTATTTATCCACGCTGTAGTGTTAGGTTTTTTAGTTTCTAAAGATAAAGAACCTAATCCAAACTTGTTCGCCATTTTTATTGATATAATTTATTACAATTTCTTCGAACTGTTTTCCTAAACTCAACTGATATAAAACCCAAAGTGAAAGCTGACCACAAAACTTTTGTCCCGGTAATTGAATTTGAAAGGTAGAACATTTGATTGGTTTATTAGTCAATTGCACTATCTCTTCAGTGGGTTCTAATCCATAGGAATCGAAGAAATATAAGTCATTTGAAGAGTCTTTGTACAAAGCAGAATGATGAACTCCTTTTTGATCGGAAGTATGTATATTTGTTAAAGCGTAAAATTTACCTTTCTTATGTTTCAGATCAATTATTTCATCTCTCATACAATAATAAAACGGTGATATATTTAACTCATTCGCCCATTTCATAAGTTGAAAGTTTGTCGTTGTGTCGCTTCCATATTTATCGAGAAATTCATTCATTTTTAAAAGTCGGTTTTTTGAGGAGTATACGGTAAGTATTGTTGAAAACCCAATTGATGAAATATATACGTAGTTTGTGTTTGAAAAAAATTGTATTACATTCTGATAAAACACATTCAATAATATTTTGAACATAAATTTGCATTTAAATTTAAAAAATTTAAATTTAAGAAAGCGTAAATGCTTGTCTACATCTAAATTTCTTCTATCAAATTCTTCATCATCATCTTTGTTTTCGAGAAATTCATTCATTTTTTAAAGTCGGTTTTTTGTAGTTCATTTTGATAAAACCTTCCTATGATTTGTTCTTTGTCTTGATCGATTAATTCATATGTCGGAGGTGATGTGGTGTTTACTTTATCAACGATGAATATTTCGTTTGTCCAGTATCCAACGTAACCTTTTTCGAATTTGCTTTTATATTTGAAAATACGAACTCGATCTCCGACTTTAAATTTGGGTTTGATATTTAAATTGTTTATTTCATTTTCATAGTTATGTTGTGCGTTAATTGACTTTATAATATTTGGATTACTCGAGGCTTGTGTTGGTGTGACACTTATAGATGAATGAATTTTGTTATTGTATTCATCTACAACCTCTGGTAATATTTTAAGCCATTTTTGAGATTTCAATTCCGTGAACTTTTTGAATATTTTATTTTTTAGAGTCCTGTTATATCTTTCTATTACTACAGCTTTACCTTCGTTATGCGTGCTGTAAATTTCAAACCCCAGAGATTTCATATTTTTGTTATAAAATTCACTTCCTTTATCTACCCACAGTTTTTCTGGATGTCGGTTAGATTGTTTCATAATCGTTTCAAATGCGTGTTTGACTGATAATCCTGTTTTGTTTTCCAAAGGAATAACCCAAGCATATCTCGTATACAAATCTATAACTGTTTAGCAAATATTTAAATCCTCTTTCGACTGGCATATGAATTATATTGGCTGACCATATTTCATCTTTTTCAAACACTTTAACTTTTAAAAAGTTTTTAGTTTTTCTAAATTCTTTATGAATTTCATCCGCTAATCCCATGCCTAATTTCATCTTTGCTTTTAACAGTTTAATGATTAATGCTCTTTGCATTCTCTCTTTGAAAGTTGGATTTGGAATATTTTCAAGTTCGATTATCATTTGTCTGTCTGCTTCGTGTCTGAAGTTTATGTCTTTGTTTCTGTATAGTATGTCGTGTTTAAGCGCAGCGGCGTCAACTCTATTGACTGTTTCTTCCCCTGGTTTGGGTTTATCGTTTTCGTCTAATCGCAGATCTAACCTAGTACCTGGACCGGTGTAATTATGACCGGGAAGATGTTTTTCTTCCGGATATTTCGCCCATGGAAATCCAGGAAGAGAACCCAATGATTTTTGTATATCTCTTGAACCGAAATAAGTTTTTGGAGCGTGAGCGACAATCATTTTTATCCTATAACTTTAAAACCTTTTCCTTTCCTTTCTTCTAATCTGCTGTTTCGTAGATCTCTTATTAGTTTCACTGCGTCGCTTATACTCTTTCCCGCTTGCGCGATTGAGCCGACGGCTTTCGCTCCAGTTGAAATGAGTGATTTGTTGTTTGAAACAAAGCTAGCTACTTTTGGAATTATTTTTGGACCTAGAGAAAATATTGATGAAAAGATACCGTCGCCCGAATAATCTTCGAATTTGTGTTGTTCGTGTATTAGAATTAAACTCATCCTATTTTTAAATGAGTTAATTTAACGAAGATATTGTGGTCTGTTTTTTTTTCCAAAAAAAGAGTTATCTCTTTTAGACTAAAAATAACATTATTTAAAACGAGGCTATTAAAAACCGGATGTTTAGCGAAACAAGGATGTTATTTTATATAAGGGTATTTTTAATATGCTTTTTTTGATTGAATGTAGGAAATTGATTGAAGGTGTTTTTTGGTGTATGGGTGTTTAGGTCTTTTTTTAAGTGTAAGAATTTATGAAATGTAGGGTATTTTTTAGTGTAAGAATTTATGAAATGTAGGATGTTTAGGTGTAAGAATTTATGAAATGTAGGGAATTTAGGGCTTTTTTGGGAGCTTATATATTGGTCGCATTTTCCCCATGAAATGAAATGGAATCGGGAATTCCCATGCGACCAATCTATAAGCTCATACACTACTATTAAATGGTTTCGATTAATATCAGCTGACTACAAAATGCAGAGAAAAGTTCAATTTATCGTTCGGCACCAAAATCCCGCCGATCAGATTACAAAATAACTTCTTTGTTACAATTTTTCCAAACCGAAACCGAAAGTCGTGCGAAAATTTTGACTGTGCAGCATTTTTTCATTATCGATGTTGTACACCATATAATTTTCAAATCGACCCAAATAACAACCAAAATAGAATTAACAATTTTCGATTAATTTTGGCAAAAAAGTACCGAACGAATTTTTCATTCATCGTTTGTTACGAAACACAACAAAATTTGTCGATAAGTACGCCCTCTTCAGTCCATTTTCAAACAAGATGAAATGAAGTAAATGAAAATGATGATAATTACCAGAAAATACAGAGATACAAATCATAAGAATTATAAAAATAAAACAACAGATGTTTTCTTTAATTAAAATATAACTTTCATTGAAGGGAGAGTTGAACGATGTACTATGCCGAAATGGCAGTATAAAACTGAGAAATTCTATGCACTAAAGAAATATCTGAGTTTGACAATCATAAGGCTTATAATAAAAAAGAATACGCAGCAATAAAGAATACGCAGCAATAAATTCGTATCTCAATTTACTCCATGTAAGCTTACAAACAATACCGATGACCATAGTAATATAATATGAAAATCTGTTCATGACGTCACGAGTAAACAATAGAATCAATCACCCTGTCCTACAGACAGAGGAAGATAAGCATTATCGAAATAAATAAATCCCTATTCAACCCCTGAAAATGGAGAATTTGTCCCTTTAAATGTGATATACTTCATAACAATTTATTGTGTACAATTTTTAGACCATATTTTCAATAACTTGCCAGGGGGAACCTTATGCCATGTAATCACACTTTTCTTTTTATATCTACACAGATCTGCATTCGTTCCTGTACCATTGCGAAAACCGGGAATATGTTCCAGTGTGTATCCCAATTGTCGGATACATAGGGAAACGTAAACATCTTCCAAATGGTAAAAAGGCACATTTCTGGAGATTTCAAAAACTTGCTGTGCTGTTTTGTTTGTGAAAATATAGCCCGTGCCTGAACAAAATCCTGGATATTTTTTACTCGGATAACTTTCAAAACCCGCATACCATTTCGAGGATTTTTTTCGGATTGGTGATGCACTTTTAAAACAATAGCCCCCAACAGAATTGATTAACTTTTGAGAGTTAGTCCGTAAATATTCGTTCAACCAATTGAGATTGATCCACATATCATCGTCTGTCTTAAGAATGTATTTAGCATTGTTACAGAATAAAGTAACAAATTTAAATCCCATCATTGTTTTGTAGGTTAAATTCTGATAACTGTCTTGAAAATCCTCCATGATGATGTCTTTATAAATTTTTGCTTCCTGGAACAAAATATTCTTATCAGAACTGATGCCGAAAAAGAAAGCATATCTGGTATTAGCGGTGTTATTCCTTGATGCAGATACCCACGTTTTTCTGATTGCGTTTCTATTGGCAATATTTCTAGGAATGGAGAAAATAATAATAAAAATATCTACAGTGATATCATTCTGTACTTTACAGATATTACTGTTTATTATCTCATATTTAAAGTTATGTAGAAAACAGTTTGAACACTTATCTTTTCTCACTGTTTTATTTGACAATATGACGTTCTCTTTTCGCACTGTTTTATTTGATAATATCTTATCTTTTCTCACTATTTTATTTGACAATATGACGTTCTCTTTTCGCACTGTTTTATTTGACAATATCTTATCTTTTCTCACTTTTTCATTTGACAATATCTTATCTTTTCTCACTGTTTCATTTGACAATATGACGTTCTCTTTTCGCACTGTTTTATTTGATAATCTCATGTCAATTTTCACTGAAATATCTTTTCTCGTTATTCTATTTGATAGTATTTTACTGTCACTAATGTATTCTTCGACGGTATTATACAATAACCTGTTGTCTTTCCAAACTTTTAAGAAGTCGTAACTCGTTGACAAAATTCGGTTTTTAGCAGCAACATTAAATAAAGTAGAAGAGTTTGTATTTGGTGTATAAACAATAGATATTGTTAATATAAATCCAGTCCAAACAAACAGTAACTTTAGTAAATATCGATATGTAATATTCCTTCGCATATTTAATGTTAGAAATATTCAAACACATAAAACACGCTATAAATAATACGCAATAGTAACAATAATGAGTAACGCATTAATCAAAGTGATGACAAAAACCACGATGTTCAAAAAATGAAAATAGATTCTATTATGGAAAACTATTTTAGCCTGTGAAACACGACACTACATAGGACATACGTTACAAACCTGATTCCAGTAACACTTACTTAGTAACAAAACACATTATTAAGTATAAAGTCACGCTATGAGAATGGTATCCCACATTAAGGTATGATATTCACTGGATCCAACATCATAGTAGAAAATCCAAATCAAGATATGATATTCAACATCAAGGTAATTTAGTCGAGTAAAATATACAGAATCACAGCACTACCCTTTAACATCAAGACACAACATCAGCCAAATGAAATGAAATGAATGGAGTTTTACGTCCTACTTTCAACATCAGCCAAGGCACAATGTACAACATTAAGGCACCAAACATTAAGATGCACTAATCAATATCTATCATTAGGACCTAACATAGAGCAATTTAAACGCATTAACACTGAAGCCCGATAGAAAGTAGACCCAAAGTCATTAATACATATAACCCAACCTATGTACAAATATATCACTCAACCTGTGTAATAAACAAATTGAAAATTCGGTTCTAATATTTCCATTTATTATTTGTAGTAGTTTATTCACTCAGACACAGTACAGTGTAACACGACGGAACAACAAACAATAAATACATAATATACAATATTATTATAATAATATATAATATTATAATAGTTTTGATAATCTTTTAACGGAAATTTACAAGTTTCTCTGTATTTTGGTATATTTATCGACAGTAAACAACCCATTTTAGTTTCATTGGGATATTTTATATAATATTTGGGGATAAATTTGTTTCTAATTAACTCTACTTCAGGATGTGGGCAAATGAGTGGGTAGTGATACTCATTACCTATACCAACATTACAGAATCTTTCATTTCGAGGAATTTTGGTCCATCTACCAACTTCGTTAGGAATTTTTAGATTACATGTTCGCAGTTTGGTTAAATATAGTGTGAGGGTTTGTAATCACCTAAGGATATACCCTATCGAAAATCAGAAAAATTGAAAAATATTGAGTATGAGTTATTGTCCTTATTCTTGAAAACGCGTTCAATTTTTAGGTTGTAAGCACTCTAGAATGCACAATTCTTGACGGTTATCTTTTATATCCGTCATCCATTTAAATTGTAGTTTGTTTTGTGTCTGTAATTCGAACATTATAATATAAATCTTACTTGACAATTTATTAGAATTTATTATTTTGAACCAAAACGATAACATTCGTGACTTTATGTTGACCCTTAATGGTAACCTACCCAACTCCCCATAGATCATAAAGGAGGGAGTGGATGATCTTACTCCAAGAATTCTCTTGCAGAATCCAAGGTGAAATTCTCATAGCCCCAAATTTCACACTCATATAGAAGTATCGACTGTAAAAGTACATCGAACAGTTTAAGTTGTATCTTAAGTGGGATGCGAATGTTTCTGATTTTCCTGTACAAAGCAAATAATGCTTTATTTGCTTGCTCGATTAGTCTCTTTCTGGCTAATTTGAATGTTCCATTGTAGTTACAAATCAGACCTAGGTAATTATAAGAGTCTACTATATCCAGGGTAAAATTATTTATATATTGAATTTTGTATTATTAACCTATATAATAGCAGATACAAATTTACAGATTGTTATATAGTCGATTACAGGACGGCTTATATTTATATCAATCGAACGAGTATGTGTTCTAATATAATTTTATATGCTTAAAGCGCTTTTTTAGAAATCCCAAGTATTTTTATCAGTTTTATACCAATGTAACATTTTTTTGTTTTAAAACTGTGATTTTTAATTCGCTAAATGTATAATTTAACTGTTATAACCATAATTTTATGTTTTTAGTGCTTTTATCTAATATACTTTATACTAAATCGATTTTAATTCAATTTTGGATGTGCCATAAGTCTGTAAAGTTTTGTATTTAGTACTTTAACATTTTAACATACTGATACTCAATGAATTTCAAATTATTTTATAACATTTTTAATATATTCAAGTATTTTATAACACCCTGAAATGTCTTTTACAAGTATTTTACAACATATTTAAATGATATATTATCATTCTCCTCTTACCAAATTTTAAACGCTGGTAAAAAAAATGTTTTTGTTTTTATTCCTATAATCGAAGAATAAGTTCTTGAAATGTTCTAAATTGCTTCCACTATTGCCCAGCATCTTGAATCTCAAACAAATCGTTCCACGATAGAGACTACAGTTTTTATCTAATCTTGATGAAACTTGGTATGCATATATATATTGATGAGATCTCAGACAAGTTTGAAATTGGTAATAATCAAATGAACGGTTTCGGAGTTATTGCCCTTAAATTAGTAATAACTCGTCAAATTTGCCTTGACTTAGTAAAAACTTGTCTTGGTCAAGTTAGAAATTGGTAATAATCGGATGAACAGTTTCCGAGTTATTACCCTTGTGTGTACAGCGATGAGACATTGTTCGTGTTTGAATATGATGATAACTTAATGAACTGTTTCAGGTTTTTGCCTTGACTTAGAAGTGATTCATTGAATAATGGTCGTTATTTTGCTTGAATTATAAGCGTTTGATATAAGAGCCTTGATGGGTTGTGTAATTACGATTTCGGTCTCCCTTCATCTAAAGTTCTGTAGCATAAGATGAACCTCTAGTAATAGTCTCATAAATGGACCCAGGTCGGTGATGGCGTCAGCAATTCGAATTTTAAGAGATTCCAAACATGGTTAACTCGAACAATAACATTAATTTTGACTTAAATCTCGATTCGATTCATGTATATTACAAATGGTAAAATTTCATGTAACACACACAGCCATGGGAGGATAAATAGCTTAAATCAGATTAAATCAGATAGTTTTGCTATGCAGATTTTAGATTGGGTTAAAGAAATGGCATTTGCCTTCTGATATGCCGGCATGATCTCTTCCAATTGATGCCAAGTCATGCTTATTGTTTGATTAGTTGATGTTTTTAATGAACAAATCAAGTATATGTTGTAATCTTTCACAAAACTTGAAAACGAGAAAAAGAATGTTGATAAAGTGTACACCCGATATTGTCGTAGACATCTCTACTACCGTGTCTGTAAATGATTGGAGATAAAATATCATTCTTGATGAGTAAATGACTTTTTATTAATAATGTCTGAATATAGCAACCACTTCACTTATTTTGTATATTTTGCAAGGAGATAAGTCAACGCCCAAAATCCGTCTCGACCCGATAATAATAAGAAGGTTACATTCACCAAAGCCTCAAGTTTGTAAACAGGTGAAGAAGAAATTTAAAGAAATTTTTAATCAAAATTGGTTTTTATTCTTTATACTAGGCGCAGTCGAGCGTATTTTTTCGCCGACAATGTCGATTGAATTACCAGCCGAGTTTTACATTACACACCACGAAAGGGGTTCATAAACAAAGTATGGGACTAAAATACCTTTACATGTATGCCTCGATTGAATAAGACGATGTCCATGGATCTCTTTATGCATGACTAAAAGATATCACTTTAAAAACTTTCAGATTTTGACTTTTGTCGCTGACTTGTTTTGCAGTGCGTTCTTTCGAACACGCTGCTTTGTTTTGCAAATGTTTTTTTTTTTAATTCTGCTGCCATTGCCCAGCCTAAACTACGCATGCCACATTCTCACTTTTCGATTTCCTTGTCAAACTCGTGAGCTTTAAAATATGAATACAATTTGAAGCACACTTTTTCAACAAGAAATGTTTATGTTATCTTCAATCGATTGCAAACAATTCTAAGGAAACCGATTTTTGAATTTTGATTTTGCTTTTCTTATATTTCCGGTTATATTTATCCAGTGAATGCAAAATGTTTAAGGCCCATAATTCGTGACCTTGACCCGCACAAATTTGTTACCCCTGACGAGATCTATCCGATGGTGTCTTCAGTTTTGCAGTGCAATGTAAATTTCCGGTTTTAAAAATAGCAATTTTTAATTTTAAAGAGCTGTGTATTTTTAATATACATATGACAAAATTTCTCATATATCTTTATTACGGGCTATCTCTTCTTTAAAATGGTATATAACTCTAGATATTTTGATCAAAATTGCGCTTTTTAAAATTTGAAAATTTTGAACTGACTTCTATAGTAACTGCGTAATTTGACATTTTCCGTAAAATCTCAAGCCTTTAACATGAAAGTATGAATATCTCATGATCTAATAACTTTAGACGCTTGAAATTTTTAAGATAGCTTAGCATTTAACAACAGATGTAACAAAACTTTAGGGATGGTCGTGGCACATCCGGGCTAGATTCACATTTACCTTATATATTTGTTATTTATTTACTCGCAAAGTATATAATTGTCACCTATAATATTTTGCAGGTTAATAGGTAACTAGTTTGGTCAATATGTGACACCTTGAACTTTTCAAGCTCAAAAATCTATAATGTCAATTTATACTTTGATCTTTGATGTCTGACACCTACTTTCGGTTTTATAGGCTTCCAAATAAAGTTATTTGCAAAACTTTTAAGGCTCATATCTCGTAACCTTGACCTTTGGTGACTAGTGGTCTGACGAAAAGCCATAGCTCTTGATGAAATCTATCACATGGTGCCTTTGATTTTGTTGTTCTATATGTACATCCG